GAAGGAAGGAAGGAAGGAAGGAAGGAAGGAAGGAAGGAAGGAAGGAAGGAAGGAAGGAAGGAAGGAAGGAGGACAAGGTCAAGGTTCCATCCCTGACCATCTCTCCCCAGCCCCAAGTCCAGATCCTGTCTCCAGAATAGCTGAGGCTGTGTGTACACACAGCACGGGTCATCTGGGGTGGTCAGGGCCAAGTCATTCCTGTGAGGTCAAAAGCTGTTCAGACTCTCAGGCTTCCAGCCCCTACCCCCACTGGGCTGACCTGGGCTGGCTTGGGGCGGTCAGTGAAGCCAGAGACATTGGATTGGAATGGGCAAGGTAGATGGGATGGGAATTGTAGAGGGTCCCATTTCCTGAGGCAAGCACTGCTAAATCCGTTACTTGGATCCCCTTGTTAATCCTAATGCTTAGATGCAGATAAACACACTGAAGCCCTGGGGTTGCAGACCTCGTCTAAGACACACTGCCTACATGAGCACCATGCCTGGGTCACTGTTTTGGTCAGCCTGGTCCCATTTCCAGGAGATATGTACCGGATGTTACAAACACTTTTTTTTTTTTTTGCTTGTTTGTTTTGTTTTGTTTTTTGAGATAGGGCTTCTCTGTGCAACAGCCCTGGCTGTCCTGGAACCTCACTCTGTAGACCAGGCTGGCCTCGATCTCCCTGCCTCTGCCTCCCGAGTGAGTGCTGGGATTAAAGGTGTGAGCCACCACCACCCTGCTGACCACTCTTATCCCAGAATGAAACTGCAGTCCGGTGTGCCTTTCATTCCTTCAAGCCCTCGACATGTCTATGCACACGTAAGGGGTGGGTGGGTCTTTCCCTGGCCTTTCTGTTTAAAGGATGCCCTGGGACAGGGCGTATGCTCTTCTTTCCACCTCTACTGGCCTCTCCGATGGGCGCGGGTCTGGCATTTATTTGTTTATATAGGTTTCCTCCGCTCTTAGTGATTAATTCCCTACCCCCTCCTTCCACCATCCCTAAGACACACTTACTCACACATGAAGGGACGGGGACCTGTGGTTAGGAGCCAGTGAGGAGGAGGCTGCGGTGTTGAAAATGGAAGAGCGTCAGGTCACAGCACAGTTTTCCTCACTGAGCTCTTCCTCCTCCTCTCCCCCACCCTGGACTCATTCTGGGCTCTGCTGGGAAGGTTTGGGGAGGGGACCTAGGCTGAGGGGGAGCCCTACTCAGAGACAGCTCAAAACCTTTGTCAACAAGAAGAAACTCCGGAGCGGCCGTGGGAGGCCCGTGGGAGTATTATCTACAAAAAGGAACAAGGAGAGAGAGAGCAGAGAGGAGCCGAGTAAGGGAAAACTGTTCAAGACACAAAAGACGGAGAAAGCCCTCCTCCCAGCCCCAGAGCGCAGGCGGAGTCAGACACTGTGCAGGGGGCGGGAACAGGTGGCTGTCGAGGAACAGGGCCCCAGGACTCCTCCCGTCTTCCCACTCCTTTCAGGAGGTCCCCCGACCTGCCGCATCCTGGCTCCCGGCCATTGCATCCAGGCATTGCTCCAGCTCTGAGGTTACTCAGTGGGAAGGTCTGGGTTCAAACTCTAACTGTGCCATGAACCAGCAGGACCTGGGGTGGGAGGGGGGGAGGGGGGTCCTTGTAAGATGATCCTTATAAGGAACGTTGTAAGGGCAGGGGAGGTAATTAAGTTGGTAGAGTACCTGCTTTGCACGCATGAAGCCCTGCATTCCATCCCCAGTACCGCACAGACTGGCTATGGCGGCACATGCCTATAATCCCAGCACTTGTGGAGGCAGGAGCATCATAAGCTCAAGGTCACCCCTTCCATATATAGAGAAGTTGAGGCCAACCTGGGCTACATGAGACCCCGTCTCAACAAAGGAAGTCTAGTTATATAGATCCTTTGCACGTGGTGCTAAGACCATGGACATGAACTCAGGCTAAGGGCCTGGTGGATCCTTATTCACACAGACACTGAAGTCCTTGAGACCACTGGATCTTGGCCACCCTTCAGTTGCTTTTAGAGCGAGCGTTCCTTCTCTTAGATGGAGGATCTAGCTAGAGTACAGTAAGTTGTCAACAAGGAATCCTAGAAGGTCCATGATTTAGAGAACTAATATAGATCACAGGCTACTATGTAGAGCCGGACAGTGGTTTGGCCCCGAGCCATGGTCCCAGAGTGTCTTTCAGGAAACAGCCTATGGGAGCGGGGTGGGGGTGATGTGTTCGTTCTGATGGGTAGTCTGCTGGTGACCTATAGAGTGCCCCAGGAAGACAGCCCTTGACTGCAGCTCCCCAGGGGGATACCCGGTCTCGGAGAAACCCTCATTTCCCAAACTGTGTTCTGGAAGCAACAGCCGCAAGGTCTGTTTAAAACCTGGTTAGAGAGAAAGCCTAAGCCGAGGAGACATAGAAGGAGACCTGACGTTTGTTTGAGGAGTCGGGAGTGGGTGGCATTTGTTCCCGCTGTTTTGACGGCAGCCAAGGGGCGGGTGGGCAGAGCCGGTGTGCTGACGATGGTGGGTGAGTTTCCCCATCCAGAAACGTCTTCGGATAGGCTTTCCTCATTATCATAAAATTCCCTCATCACCCGTATGGAAATAACATCCCTTGGGGAGTTCTGACCTGAGAGTCATTCCTGCAGGCTGCAGTGACGGTCTCCTGAGCTCAGCTCTGCATCCGACCTGTCCCACCCACACAACCCGGAAGCTGGGCCAGGGTGCTGCCCTGGCAGAGGCAAACGGAGGGCAGAGCCTACACCCATCTGGAAGGATGGCCCTCGAGGAGACAATGGACAGTGGTGTTCCTGATTCCCTACTTTGGAACGGGAAGAGGCAGGGAAGCCCCTTTCCCAGGCTTTAGTAGAGTGGGGGAGATCAGCTCATCACAAGCCAGCCGAGACACCCAGGGCGCTGTTCGGCAGCACC